CGCCGAACGCCACCTGGCAAGGAAAGAAACACTCCAAAACAAAATCCCACTTCACGTGAAATGGGAGTGGCTGGTTGCCCGACTGGCGTGTTTTCAACTAGGGAAAAAGCCAAATACTCAAAGTGGAATGCATTGGTCACAAAGAGAGAAACTCAAAGTCATTACCACAACTAGTTCATAAAATGAACTACAAAATGGTAGATAACGAGAGAAAAACAACTACTTTCCTGGCTATATGCCACGCAGAACATTGCATTACATCCTCCCGAAACCTATGCGATAGTTCGTATAAACGAATAAAATCGCAAGTGTTTCTTTCCTAAACGCTGAGCTGCGCTTAAGTGGTTCAGGAACGCTGACTACCTGCAGACCGGTTTCGAGCTCTTGGCTCTCATCAGTACAGGGCTGTCCCAGATAGCTTCTTGACCGCTATCTGGTGCGAACCTGACCCAACGTAAACGCATCTCAGCATTTATACCATACGAGGCGTACGACGTCTGCGAAATGAAAACGCGAACGCCGAACGCCACCTGGCAAGGAAAGAAACACTCCAAAACAAAATCCCACTTCACGTGAAATGGGAGTGGCTGGTTGCCCGACTGGCGTGTTTTCAACTAGGGAAAAAGCCAAATACTCAAAGTGGAATGCATTGGTCACAAAGAGAGAAACTCAAAGTCATTACCACAACTAGTTCATAAAATGAACTACAAAATGGTAGATAACGAGAGAAAAACAACTACTTTCCTGGCTATATGCCACGCAGAACATTGCATTACATCCTCCCGAAACCTATGCGATAGTTCGTATAAACGAATAAAATCGCAAGTGTTTCTTTCCTAAACGCTGAGCTGCGCTTAAGTGGTTCAGGAACGCTGACTACCTGCAGACCGGTTTCGAGCTCTTGGCTCTCATCAGTACAGGGCTGTCCCAGATAGCTTCTTGACCGCTATCTGGTGCGAACCTGACCCAACGTAAACGCATCTCAGCATTTATACCATACGAGGCGTACGACGTCTGCGAAATGAAAACGCGAACGCCGAACGCCACCTGGCAAGGAAAGAAACACTCCAAAACAAAATCCCACTTCACGTGAAATGGGAGTGGCTGGTTGCCCGACTGGCGTGTTTTCAACTAGGGAAAAAGCCAAATACTCAAAGTGGAATGCATTGGTCACAAAGAGAGAAACTCAAAGTCATTACCACAACTAGTTCATAAAATGAACTACAAAATGGTAGATAACGAGAGAAAAACAACTACTTTCCTGGCTATATGCCACGCAGAACATTGCATTACATCCTCCCGAAACCTATGCGATAGTTCGTATAAACGAATAAAATCGCAAGTGTTTCTTTCCTAAACGCTGAGCTGCGCTTAAGTGGTTCAGGAACGCTGACTACCTGCAGACCGGTTTCGAGCTCTTGGCTCTCATCAGTACAGGGCTGTCCCAGATAGCTTCTTGACCGCTATCTGGTGCGAACCTGACCCAACGTAAACGCATCTCAGCATTTATACCATACGAGGCGTACGACGTCTGCGAAATGAAAACGCGAACGCCGAACGCCACCTGGCAAGGAAAGAAACACTCCAAAACAAAATCCCACTTCACGTGAAATGGGAGTGGCTGGTTGCCCGACTGGCGTGTTTTCAACTAGGGAAAAAGCCAAATACTCAAAGTGGAATGCATTGGTCACAAAGAGAGAAACTCAAAGTCATTACCACAACTAGTTCATAAAATGAACTACAAAATGGTAGATAACGAGAGAAAAACAACTACTTTCCTGGCTATATGCCACGCAGAACATTGCATTACATCCTCCCGAAACCTATGCGATAGTTCGTATAAACGAATAAAATCGCAAGTGTTTCTTTCCTAAACGCTGAGCTGCGCTTAAGTGGTTCAGGAACGCTGACTACCTGCAGACCGGTTTCGAGCTCTTGGCTCTCATCAGTACAGGGCTGTCCCAGATAGCTTCTTGACCGCTATCTGGTGCGAACCTGACCCAACGTAAACGCATCTCAGCATTTATACCATACGAGGCGTACGACGTCTGCGAAATGAAAACGCGAACGCCGAACGCCACCTGGCAAGGAAAGAAACACTCCAAAACAAAATCCCACTTCACGTGAAATGGGAGTGGCTGGTTGCCCGACTGGCGTGTTTTCAACTAGGGAAAAAGCCAAATACTCAAAGTGGAATGCATTGGTCACAAAGAGAGAAACTCAAAGTCATTACCACAACTAGTTCATAAAATGAACTACAAAATGGTAGATAACGAGAGAAAAACAACTACTTTCCTGGCTATATGCCACGCAGAACATTGCATTACATCCTCCCGAAACCTATGCGATAGTTCGTATAAACGAATAAAATCGCAAGTGTTTCTTTCCTAAACGCTGAGCTGCGCTTAAGTGGTTCAGGAACGCTGACTACCTGCAGACCGGTTTCGAGCTCTTGGCTCTCATCAGTATTTATTGAACAAATAACTTCCAGATAGAATATTCTCTGGTATAAGGATGTACAGGGTGGCCAACTAAGACTCCAGAGTTCGATTTCTCTGTTGTCTTGAGAGAAACAAAAAAAATTCATGTATCAAAATCGAAGTAATAACCGAGCTTCACATTTCAAAATTTCTTTGAGATACACAGGGTGTTCTGTAAGGTCACAGCACATCAAAGCTATGTTTTTTTCATTGAAACACCCTATATTTTATTTCATTTTTGAATTCTCCCTGAACATCTGATTTCAACGACCCATCATACTTAGGGTCTAGCAGTGAAAGTTACTGACATATAGGGTGTGCAAAATCGAGATTTTCCAAGTTCAGAATTTTTTTCTGTCGAAACTGTTCATTATTCGTCGAAACGGTTTACATGTCCCTATCTCATTTTTTCACTCACTATCAATTGGTGTTCAATTGAAATTGATACAAGGTGGTCAAAAAATCAAAATTCATAATTTGTTTCAATTGAATGTCAATTGAACACCAATTGATAGTTAGTGAAAAGTTGAGATAGGGACATGTAAACCGTTTTGACGAATGATGAACAGTTTCAACAGGAAAAAATCCTGAACTTGGAAAATCTCGATTTTGCACACCCTATATGTCAGTAACTTTCACTGCTAGACCCTAAGTATGATACGTCGTTGAAATCGGATCTTCAGTGAGAATTCAAAAATGGAATAAAATATAGAGTGTTCCAATGAATAAAACATAGCTTTGATGTGCTGTTACCTTACGGAACACCCTGTGTATTACGAATAAATTTTGAAATGTGAAGCTCGGTTATCACTTTAATTTGAATACGAAACTTTTTTTTGTATCTCTCAAGACAACAGAGGTATCGAACTCTGGATTCTTAGTTGGCCACCCTGTACATTATAATTATATATTTATAGGTGAACATTTCATCATTCGAAATATATCAACAACTGTAAATTGACAAACAAAGAATAATATTTGTAGAAAAAACACAGTAGAATGGTATTATTAATTTTATCCAGTTCGCTCAAAAATAATCAGTTTTTTTACTTCATTTTTGAATGTACCTACATTTCTGCAAAAGATGGAACACGTTATATTAGAATTCCGTATCAAAATAATATTCGACTTCAATTTTTTATTTATGATATTATATGATATTTTAAGAGTTTCAATTCTAAATATTTCATCTAAAGAATACGTATTTGTTATTTCATACAATTGATTGGCTGGTGTATCAAATGGGAGACGATATATACAATACTTTTAACGATTTTCTATATAATATTGATATTTTATTGAAATTATTATTTGAACAAGATCCCCAAACATTTATTGAATAGTTGATACGGCTCTGTATATGAGAGTAGAGAATCATGTTTGCAATTTTAATATCTAGTTTGGCACATCTTCTCAATAATGCACCAATAATTAGACATATTTTCTTTGTCAAAACATCAAAATGTTTGTCCCACTCCAACCTGTCATCAAACCGAATACCAAGATATTTTATCTGGTTAGTTTGTTTTAAGAGTTCATTTTTTATTTCGATGTCGAGGTAATTTTTTTTATTTTGTAATATTACATATTTAGTGTTATGTGATGAGTATTGAAATAGAGCTTGTGATTTCACTCGAGCTATATCTCTGACATGCTCTGACTATAATCCATCAGTGAATGGAGACACATAGAGGGGGTTCACCTTACAAACGGTCCGGTACTTCTGAATTCTTGATATGTTATCTACAATGGTTATTGAGTGTTCAAAATGCAAATTGCACAATTACCCTCCTTCGCACCCTCCGCCATAATGAAAAACCCAAAGAAATCGGCACTTCCTCCAGATTTTCGCGTATATCTTCGTTTTGGTGCATATAAGCTACAAATGAGCTTCATTCAATGTTGTAGAGGATTGAATTTCCTATAATTCTCGTCTCGAATTTTGTTTCCAGGACTGATAGTTACGGAGATATGATTTTTTTATAAAATAAGAAAACCTCGAAGAAAACGCATGTTCCGTCAAGTAGGTACGTTCAGCGACACTATGGCACCATTGTGATGGTGATTTTTGATGGCTACACTACAAATCCTTCTCAGCAAGGGACCAAGATTGCTGAAAATGCGATTTTTCACCGTAACTATCAGTCCAAGGATCAAAATTCAAAACGTGAATTATAGGAAATTCAATCCTCTACAATACTTAATGGGACTCTTTTGTAGCTAAAATGCACCATAACGATGATATAAGCAAAAATCTGGAGAGTTAATATTTTTTTCGGTTTTTTCAATATGGCAGTGGGCGCGGAGGAGGGGGAACTGTGCATTTTGCATTTTAAACACTCCATAGCCATCCTAGATAACATATCAAGAATTCAGAACTACCGGACCGTTTGTAAGGTGAACCTCCTCTATTCACTGGATTACTATGGTATGTACATGTGAAATTTAAAATGCAGCAGTGATTGAGCTGCATATTATACAAGTCACTTCATTGAATGATTGATAGATAGTTAGACTCACACAAATCCAGCAAGTACGTTGAGTAAAGTGCTTTTTCCTGCACCGGAAGGACCCATGATGACCGATAATTCACCTGACTTGAATTGACCGGACACTCCATGAAGAATTTTCTTGGATTCTGAAACAAGAAATTGAAAAATTCTCAGTAAGTATCACGGTAAGTATGTTTTCAATATTGTTCACAAATGGTGTCCCGAAATTAGCCAGCCAATCTTCACCAGCGGCTTCTACAAAAAAAAAATAGGAAGAAAAGGTCGATGAAGATGAGTCGAAAAATGTCGGAGAAATATCTTCTAAGGGTGCAGCGGTCCCATGAAAGGGCGATCCTGAAGATGATTTTTCTTGAATATTTCCGAAACGCTATTTGATGAAATGATGCAATTCGGTACAAGAACTAAACTTTCCATGCCCAATGCAGTGACAATAAGATTATTTCAAAATTTCATTCAGGAGTATATAATACAGGGTGGGACTACATCAAATATTTGCCCAAACTTTTTTATTTATTCGTCACTTTAATCCCGAATCACACACCTCTTCATAGAAAAGAAGGTACTCTTGTTTCGATCGATTTGAAAATATTGTAGCATATCAGATATTATACCTAATATTGCAATAAATCGTAGTGGATATGGAAAAAATGCACAATGCATAAAATTGTTCGGTGGAAATGAAGAAGTTGATTTTTTAGAGCCACTGTGATTTGAAAATTGGCATCGTTATGCATTAGACTCGGCATATTTTCAAATCGATTTCACTCGAAAATGAATTATCAGTAAAAACTTCCACAAAACTCTTGAACACACAACATGTTTGGCTAATAACACAGTAACATCGTCTGGCGATGTACTGGTACAATGAACTAAACCAACCTTGGCTTGCTTAACTTTTATATATTCTACTTTCCCGACTTGAAGGATGAGTAACGAGATCAGTTACCTGTGGACATCATCGATAAACCTTCATTTTCGGAAATTAGGCACAATATCTACATTAAAATACGGTGTACAGGATTAACTTGAAAGGGCTGATAGCAAATAAATATTATTACCTACTGAGAAAACAAATTCAACAGTGGTGAAATATTGAGGTCTATTTGATCGTTAAGTAAAATGTCGTTTGTTGATTTCTAATGAGTCAAAAGGATTGAGTTTCATACCTTTATTTTCTACGTGTAGAATTTCGAAAATATCACCAAAACTATGGATTTCTTCTACTATATGGTTGGCGTAAGTTGAATTTGTTTTCTTTTTCAAAAAATTCATCTTATGTTCATGAATGCGCTGATTAAACGTACGACCTGTCTGACCGATATATACCTTAGGACAAGATCCAAAGTTGAGTTTGTATACACCTGATTTTTCCGATTTAGAAGTTTTTTCTCTATTATTTCTGATAAACCTCAACGTGTTATTTGTTCTAATGCTACTTTTGAATCCTGTTTATGTAGAAATGAAGCTAATTTTTCAGTTGATGATCCGAAATAGGTTGAAGTTCTATAATTTAGATTATTATTCTTGATGGTAGGATATACTTCGTGAATAGCTTTATTATGACGTTTTTTAGAAAGCATGCTGTCAATCAAATTAACGTTGTATCCGTTGTTGACTGCACTCTGTTTTATGATATTGAGTTCTTTATTGAAATTTACTTCCGAAAGAGGGACATTCACTAGCCTGTGTATCATACTATTATAATATGCTGCAATTTTATGTTGTGTATGTGCTGTGTTGAATTATTATGAATAGTGATATCAGTGTTGGAAGCTTTATGGAAAATTGAAAAATCATGTTTATCGTTTATCGTTTGTGAAGTTTTTACATTTGCCATGAATTTCCATTGAGTAACGACCGAATCAATTCAAAAAATCATATATCTGATCGATACGGACTAGGAGCACCCTCTTTCTGTAAAACGGTGTGATTTTTATAATCCGAGTTTAAATTGTCGAATAATATGCATACAAAAGTTTGAGCAATATTTAATGTAGTCCCAACCTGTATTATACACTCCTGAATGAAATTTTGAAATGATTTCATTTTCACTGCATTGGGCATGGAAAGTTTAGTTCTTGTACGAAAATTGTCCCCTTTGAGGGGGCCGTAGTTCCCTCAAGAGACATTCCTAGACTCATGTTCTTTGAAACTTTTCTTATTCCTATTTTTGGTCGTGGAAGCCGCTGGTGAAGTTTGGCAGGCGAATTTCGGGACACCCTGTATAGTAGTTAAGTTTCGTATATTCTGATGGAAGCATATTAATACTAATAAGATAAAACGTTGAGGAAAGTTATGAGTAATATAAGTACTAATTCGATTTGAAATCGAATAGATGATTTGTTTGATGGTAAAACACTAGCGTAACATTTCGAGATAATAATCGATTATAATCTTGAAGAATTTCACTGTCTCCTACAAAAATATTCTTGCGAAATATCGTAAGATCATCTGCATAAATAAGAGGTTATCAACAGGTAATGATTGTTGATATTTCAGTCGGTCCTTAATTATTATATGATTGATATCTTCAACTACACTTTGGACATAATTAATACTAGATAATGATAGAAATACTGAGATCAAGCGACTTCATCAGGAGATGAAAAAAATATTGTCCTCAATTGTTAACAAACAAAAGATTCGAATAAGACAGTCAGTATCTTTCGATCAGCTGGTACCATCAGGGTGTGAGGCTAATTAATCAAATGAGCAATTTTTCTGACCTCAAAAACTATCCATTAATTGCATAATTATGATGATGACGATGGCGAAAAAAAGAAAAAGTGAACAATATTCCAAGAAAAAGAAAAAACAGAATAACACCAAGTCGGTCGACCACAAAATTTCATTACACAAATTGTATTGTGTGTGACTAGTTTCGGCTCAAATAGCCATCAGACACATCAGTACACAAATACAAGGAAAAAAGTAGTAGATTTAGTGAGACAAAAAACCGTGAGCTGAAATCTAATATTCTTCCCGTGTATAATACACTACGGACGAATCAATATCGAGAAGATATTGCATTATTTTGAAATCTGAAAATTATCGACGTGAAAATTTTAGGTTTTTAACAGTAGGGACACCTGCGTTGTAAGATCTTTATCATTCTTTTTAAAGGCGGATTTAGCGGGCGCACAAACACAATTTATTTCATAACTGTAATTTTAATGTATAATTCATAAAAGTTAAACACTGTAGTCCATATGAGATGATTTATCAAACTCAAAAGTTCTAGTGCACAGTGCATAACATCTCATAATACATAACCCTGAAGTTCACAATTTTTAACTTTTATGCATTACACATTAAAGTTACACATTGTGCTTGTGCCATTCGCTAAATCCGCCTTAAGTGATCAAATATCTGATGTCACTTCTGTCAATCTAATTCTGTGATTTGATTTAAAATAATTGCGAATTTAGTGGTTGTTTAGTAATATACGTAACAGCGAAGTCGAATGGAAGATAAAAGGACTTGCAGTTCTTTCTCGGAGACGGTATTATTGACTCATTTTTTGGAACTATAGCACAACAAAAGCCATCAACAGTGTGATATATACCCGGGAAAAAAGTACTCACTTTTTTCCCACGATAAAAGAGTAATTTATGGAAAGTGACATTTTATAACTTGCCAACAGATATGAAATGCCAAATTTTTTTCCCGTCACCGAAAAAGATTATTATTATCATTATTATTATTATTGTGTTGTTATTCCACAAAATCTCATCTCCCATGAAATGTCAAATTTCAAGTAATGACAGCTCTGTCTGATAGATGAGCATGCAAGCCGAACAAATAAAAAATTTCGTTGTTATCTGTCACAGCCGTAGAAAAAGTATAGTGTACGGAATGCTAATTTTCCACTCGTAAGATCAACTTCAATTTCCGTTACTCTTATTTATGGTTTTGGCACACCATCATAGATTGTCCCAATGGCTCCCGTTCGGTTTGGACCCTTGCTAAAGCGGTCGGAAGAAATTTCACGAATAGTTCATTTCCACCACTGTCCAAATGCGAGGCACATTAGCAACAACATCGCAGGAGGAAGCAAATATTTTTGCAGAGATGTTCGCAGCAAACTCTACTTCAGATTCTCAAGGAAAAGTGCCGCCAGACATTCCACCCGTTGAGAGTCGAATGCCCGAAATCGTCTTCCGTCAACGCACTATCAGACGAATTTTGCTTGGTCTCAAAACGAATAAGGCTAACGGTCCTGATGGAATTCCACCCATTATCCTCAAAAAATGTGCACCAGAATAAACACCGATTCTCTGCAAGTTGTTTACCGTCTCGAACAGGTCGGGTGTTTTTCCCGGTTTTTCCATCATGCTGGAAGACAGCTAGAGTCCAACTAATACCCAAAAAAGGAAACAAGAACCTGCCCAACAACTACAGGCCCATTGCCCTGTTATCAGTAATCTCCAAAGTGATGGAGAAAGCCATCAATATTGAGCTTATCAAATATCTGGAGAGCTCAGGAATCATCAATGATAGACAATACGGCTTTCGCCACCGAAGATCCACTGGAGATCTACTTGCCTACGTCACCCATTTATGGCAAGCTTCATTAGAAAAACACGGGGAATATCTAGCTGTCGCGTTGGACATATCGAAAGCATTCGACCGTGTTTGGCACGAAGAACTCCTCCACAAACTACCATCATACGGCTTACCACCTCAGCTATGCCATCTCTTATCGAGTTTTCTTTCAGGCAGATCGCTTCACGTGGTAGTGGACGGTGTATCGTCTGATACCATTGGCATCAATTCCGGCGTTCCACAAGGATCAATTTTGGCACCAACATTATTCCTTCTTCATATCAATGATCTGTCGGGAGTAACAACTTGCCCCATCCACAGCTTTGCAGATGATAGTACCCTCCATACTGCGTTCTCTTCCAGAATTCCCATCTTTTCCCAGGAAACTAAGAACCCACGGCGCAGGCAGGTCAATGCTGTCAACGAAGACCTTGCTGAAATCACAGCCTGGGGAACCAACAACCTAGTTGAATTCAACGCCACCGAAACTCAAGCCTGTATTTTCTCTAGAAAGGCGGAACTCAGTATGCCCGATATTGTAATGTCTGGCACCATCCCCAACAAGCCCACCATATCTTTG